CCCCAAAACCCCAAAACCCCAAAACCCCAAAACCCCAAAACCCCAAAACCCCGAGTTTGTTCATGTCATTAGTTATATATTATAAATAATACTCTAATTCGTCATTAGCAAAGATGAACTTTTTCCAATCATGCAAGGACTTGCTTCTGCAAAACAAGGTGGCTCAAGAACTTCAAAGCAGATGAGTGTCCAACTATGTCGTCTTCGAGGACTCTCAAGTTGAGCAGATGTACCATGAACATAGGCTCAAAACAATTCGAGCTAATTGGAGGTTTATCCTTTTAATACTAAAGGTCAAATTCTTCCTAATATCAGTTGTTTTCCAATTGACGACTGAAGATGGCCTTATCCTCAAGAAATTGAGCCCTGTGATGATGTTCCTCCTGCTTTTTGTGTTCAAATATTTTATCCAGAAAAATGACTTTGTAGCCAGGTATGGAGCCATATTCTTAATTCTCTGGTTCGGATTCGTGATGACTTGAGTGAACCTACAGTTCCCCCAATTTCGGTAAGTCAATAAATGCTGTTTTTCATAGAAAATGACTTTCGAAGTTCGAACCATGACAACTTAGAGAGATTTCAGATAGTTTCTTAACATAGGCTTTCTCTGCTTTATTTTTAAATGGCGTACATTTCTATATGAATAGCAAGCAATAGCTGAAGATAATGCCTTCTCATGTACTATTAACCTTGATATAGGCTATATGAAGGATTCTTATTCCATATTTCTGTGTCCTTTCTGCTGTCGACATGAGTAGTCACAGACTGGAGGATATCCTCAGCTGCTATCATGCTAGTATACTGCAACTTATACATTCTGTTAAAGCTCAAGTTCGATCATGTTCCAGCTCTGGTGCTTCATGTACTTCTGTTTTCATTGACAATATTTCTCTTCAATGCTTTCTTAATTTCGCAGACATTTAAGCAGGAGTTTATGGCGACTTATACAGCAAAGAGGGCTTCTTCACAGATGAAGAAGGTCCTCCAAGTTTTGCCCGAAGGAGTAATCATCATTGATGAGCAAGGGGAGGACCTCAAGTTCATCAACAAGAAGCTGAAGCAGACTTTCGATGTAACTGAATTTTACCAAGACTGAAAGGTGACTGAAGAATTGGTCAAAGCCAAGCAGATGATCGACCAGTTATTTGACCAGATCTGTAATAGAATGGACACTGGCACTTCCAAGGCAGAAGATTCTCGTGTTCTTGAAGACAATATTTTGACCAATTTTATAATCAAAGTCAAGAAAGAGAAGATTGAAGAAGGCAAAGGAGCTGATTTGGATGACATAAAGGAGGAGTATAAATATATACCATTAGCAAGCTTTCTACGTGATGAAAGAGAATTAGCCAAAGATATTGCGAATAATGAAAGGAGTACTAAAGCTTGTATTTGTTACAAAAATGCTCCTATTTGTAAAGAAATGGAGTACCTCACAAGAGATTTTATTGTCAAGACTTCTAAAATTGAGGAAGCAAATAATCGTGGAAATAAACCTAATTTTCTCCAAATGTTCATTGATACCACTCAAATAACACAGCTCGAAAATGAGAAAGCTCAAAGCAAATATCAGAGACAGATGCTTTCCAACGTATCACATGAGTTTAGAACCCCATTGAACGCGATGTCTTTGTCATTGCACCTGATGAAGCCTTACATCAATGAAGACCTAGAAAAGTTCCACAGAATAGCAAATTCTTCATGAGATATTCTCAAAGGACTTGTTGAAGACATTCTCGATTTCTCAAAAATAGAAGCAGGGGTCTTCGAAATCCAGGAGTCGGTATTCATTTTCAAGCAGCTCTTCGATGAGGTCAACTCCATCTTCGAGATGCAGACCAAGATGAAGGGAATAGAATTGGAATTCAAGATGGAAGATGTCTTTCAAGACCTTGAAATCAAATCAGATAAAGAAAGGCTTAAACAGATCCTATTAAATCTATTATCCAATTCTCTCAAGTTCACAGACCGAGGATCTATCGATGTAAGCCTCAAGATCCAAGCGATGACAGAAATTACTGATGAACAAACAAATTGGAGTAATTTTTCTTATAATGTATAGATGAAGAAATTCAGATTATTGATTCAGACACTTTTGAAGAAATGCCAGTGTGCAACCTTCTTCTTGCAACCAATAACTATAATTTCAAATCAAACCCTTCAAAACTTTCAGAAGAAGTAGGAAGTCTCCAAAGGAGTCACAAGTTATCCAAAAGGCTTCAGCAAGAAGACTCAGAAGGCAGAAGACTATCTGATTTTACCAAGGAGTTGAAGCTAGAACTGACTGTAACTGACACCGGTCTCGGCATCCCTAAAAAGGACTTGCCTTCTTTGTTCAAGCTGTTCGGGAAGACCAGCTCCAACCACAACAGAAACAAGACTGGGACTGGCCTCGGCCTGACCATCTGCAAGATGCTGTGTGAGAAACTGGGAGGCAGAATCCAGTTGAAATCGAAACCAGGGATTGGAACAACGGTGGCATGCATCTTCACATGCTTTTACTAATTAAGAATATTTGGTTTATTATTTAGTTCAATCCTGGTGACCACCTACGGGGTTTTGGGGTTTTGGGGTTTTGGGGTTTTGGGGTTTTGGGG